GACAATACTGAGAATTTGAATGAATGTAAAGAAGTGCACACGCTTCATACGAACTAATCGAAGCCAGACATAATCAGGCTGCAAAAAATTAAAAACATTTTTTTCAAAAAAAAAAAAAAATCGGACTCTGGAAATGTACCACTACCTCGATAACGCAGAGATGCGAAACATACTCACTGATGAAAGCAAAAGAGCAAACGTTAGCGATAACGAAGAAAGCAATGGAGAAAAAGATCATGCAGGTTTTTGTCCTCTGTCTGCACGAAAAAATATTAACGGTAATAATAGTAATGATATTAGCAATAAAAGTAGCTGCTAGTAATAAAATTCTAAATCAGAATGAAAGTTTCAGTTTTAAAAAGACGAAAATTTGCTGTTAATCGAGAAAAAGTACTTGGTGTTTAATGGGCATAAAGAGCATGGAAATCCTCTGCACGAATTGCAGTCCAAGCATAGATACTACACCCATATACAAAAATATTCCAATAAGCACTGGCAAAGGCACTAACTGAAACAGACTTAAGCTATTTCCATCTCACAGAGAATATAACTATGGTCTGAATCTTTTCCGATATATTTGTTACATCCAGAAGTATCCCTCCAAGAAAAAAAAAGTACACTGACGATTGTTTTCCTCTTCTAGAAAAATTCTGATTAAGTTAATTGGTTTAATATCTGGTGGCAGAGGATTCTCCTTTTCCGAGGAACATCTGCACCCCTTTCGCTTGCATCCCTGAAGAAGTTTAGGAGTATCATGAAGGAGATTCTGTCTTTTTGGGATGTACCACCCACTGAAACGAAGCGAAAATTCTCACAGCGATTAATTTTTCACCGATGGAAGCGAACTATGAAATTCCTTATGGAGATCAGCGCTATTTGCAACTATTCCAAACTTTCAACGCGAGAGTAGCTCCAATAGCACGTTTTTTATGTGCACATGTAAAGAAAAAAACATAAAAAACAATTGTAAACCTTGATGAGCGGTGTTAGAAACACGGAGAAACCAATGAGAAGATGAGCTATTATTGCAGTCAAGCGTTGCTCTCTGCAAATTATGCAAATTTTATAGAACTCGATTTTGGCAAATACAAGTTTTTGTACATTTTTGCATATATGCAAATACAAAAACGCATATTGGCGAAAGGCTGTGTGAGTGTGTGCTTCTGTGCATGCGTGTGTCTGTGTCTGCGTGCGTATGGATGCATGTGCCCTTCTCATAATCTATCGGTTTTTCATAATCAATCGATTATTTTACGATTATTTCAAAATTTCATTTCACCCGTAGATGGCCATAACTAGGAATTCCCCAGGTGACGATGATTGGTTTCAGTAAATTCAGACAAAGAAACAGACATTTGACTGAAAATTAGTCTTACTTGACGCCAAGAAACTGCGCCTTTTCACCGGGTGCTGATGTTTCCGACTGAAGACGAAGTGAATCAACATGCATTACTGATAACACAGTTGCTGCCACATAAAATGGTAATCCCAGGCTGCCACATATGACCACAAGCAGCGCGATCACTAGCAAATCCAAATGATAGCCGTAACCTTTCTTAAATTTTTGTATATTCTTTTTATTATCCAGAATTGAAGGCGATAAGTATATTTCGTCAGGTGTTGAAAAGGAATGTGTACGACTTAATGGATCGAAATTTTCCTTTTCAGTTATTTTCCCTTTCCCACTATTATATATATTTTTACAAATCTCTTGATCATATCCCCCTTCCTATTTACACTTATTAAAGCTTGACTTATTCCTCTGTGCCTCAGCTAATTGTTATCCCAAAAAATCACTCTTTTTTATCACTGCTGCAAGATGAGTTTTTTCGTCAAAATGTTGACAAAACCTGAGTGATAATAAATCGTCAACAGCAGTTACACTCTAAAAAACTTCCGATTGCTTACTTTATTCCGATAATTCGTACCAAACTTGTTCAGCTACACAGCACGCAACTTTTCCATTTGCTTTGATGGTCAGCCTGCTGGCGATCGTATGCTGCCACAGGTGACCGAGAGCAACCCGGCTACCAAATTATTAAAAAAGCGAAGAATCACCAGACAAAAAAATTTCCGTCAATTGGCTTTCTGTCGAAATATCTGTCTCCCTCACTAAAAAAAATTCAGGCCCTTTCATTAGTTGATCTTTTAGGTCAAATATCAATAGCAGACCCTAAGTTTGTTATCTTTGCGATTAATGATAACAGCCGTAATTTGCTGATCCATCACAATTAGTATTGTATAGAATACAGCTGGAAGTGCAGCAACTACTGCCACATACCACTGCACTGATAATGGATTGATAAGCCATGGACGATCAATTGTCGGCTAAATAAAGTAATACAGTAATCCTCTGTCCAAAGCATTCAACATAAAAAATGTGAAAGCATTTTGATAATTTGTTACATTAAAGCGATACTCTGAAAACCATGTCACTTGTATGTTTGTTTGTATTTGTTTGTGCAAGTTTGTGGGTATATTTGTGTCTGGTAGCCTGTAGTTGTGTCTATATGTTTGTCTACACATTCGCGTATCGCCACAGAGAAAAGGGGAAGAAAAGATAGATGTATTTTGTCTTGAAAGGCAAGTACACGGCAAATGTGCTGCCAGAGCTGAATCAGGAGCACAAAACCAGTGGCGTAGTGGTAACACGCTGTATCCGAATGCGAACAGGAGTGGTTTGATTCCCTTCAAAACAATTATCGAGAAAGGGCTTCGTTCACGACACTGCTTGTTACAAAATCCTAATGAACAACTAAATAAACACAGAGCACCATCTTACTGTCTTTATCTTATTTGTTGAACATATGCGTTGACCGAACAAAAATACAATTGACAAACCCTGAAACTGGCTGGAATATTGAGCACAGGTAAATCAAGTCCAGTAAATTTTGAAATTGCCGTCATCACAACAATTGCAATGAAAACTCCAAAATCCGAGACACTATTACGGAACTGAAAGAAAAAATTATCAAAAATCGCTTGGCTCACCATCCAATCTATAGTAGCTGTAAAAAATATGCCTGGATTAGGAAGCTGAAGCCTTCGAAATGGAGACATACGAAAAAATAAAAAGAATCCTTCTTCCTAAAATTTCGCCTAAAAAGTACCGTAGAGCCAAAATATGGCGTTCTGCGAAACATATTTAGTCCATATGTGAGCGTGAAGGTACCAAATGTTAGCAAAATAGAGAGCATGTAAACATCGGGTTTGAAACGGCACTGCAATCCAATCGGTTCACCACCACGACGCTCGCATTCTATAATCAAACACTATTTTCAACGACAACCACACCACCCCAATTACTTTTTGTATTTTTCAAAAGCAGCGAAACCGCTCATACTGTGGTCCCATATGCCAAGCCTTTCCCCCTCCCCTTCACCAGCGACACAGGCACCAGTGCTGCGAAAAACCGGATCTAAAGGTAAAACTAAAGCCTAAAGTACCTCTAAAGCAAAATAACTCTAAGTAACAGTGTTACAAGTCCTAGTTCTTGCCTAGTTCCAAGAAGGGGGTTCTCCCCACGGGAATCCGTTCTGAATCCGCCTATCGCTCGTATTAGTCGTTACCGCTCTAATTACACAATACAAGA